GGCAGAAAGCCCAACGTAGTCAGAGATCACATACTGTCTAGTTATTATGAAAAGACAGTCATTGAAATTTTGTATTGAAAAACAAGCAAGCAAACAAAACCAAAAAACCCTCAACATTTAAGCAATAGGGGAACACACAGCAAAGGAAATTACAGTATGCTCATATAATCAAATAATATGCTATTTAAAGTCATACTTAAAATACTTTTAAATGCTTAAAAATTGGGAGGAAATAAAAATGTTAAAAGAGTTTTTTTCCCCTTCAGAACAGAATTCTTGGTATTTTCCCCTCTATTTTTAATACTTAACCTAATTTTAAATGGTTAACATATGTTACTTTTTTAATTAGAAAGAAGCATTATTTTGAAATTTAATCCATTAGTACAGAATAGATTGGAAGAGAAAATGTCTCCCCCTCACAATTATTTAAAAACTTAGCTTGGAGTTTACATTTCTGTCTTTGGAGAGTAAAACACAATGGACACTTTTATTATTACTTAAGGCAAGCTCTGTCTCCTCTGTGACTTGGTGGTGACCTTGGATGAAAAGTCCTTTCACAACAGTGGCCAGTGCCACACATGCACCCTTTTTCATGCCTGTACCTCCCAGTCTCGCACAGAACTCCTGTGGGGGGTGGGGTGTTTCTCTATTCAGCAGATACGAAGAGCATTTATGAAGTTATTTTTCCTGGGCCTCTCTTTTTTTCTTCCATTTTGTGATATTAATAATTTGAGATCCTCTTTCTTCTACTGTAGAAGGCTAATAGTAGATTTCCTAAGTTAGAAAAATCTTTCTTAAGTTAGAAAGGGGAGCTAGGAAAACAGTTTAGCATTCCTATTACAGATCTTACTGCTGTAATTGTAACAACCCATATACAAAACTCTTCACTCACAGGTAAACATCCGGGGTCACTGAATTGCCATATTGGACCCAACCAAATGGCATCACACAGGACAACCTGAAATCCCTAAAGATACCATCTGAGCATGAAAGACCAGATTACCTGGCGCTAGACAGAACACGTTTCTTCTTAAATGAGAACAATTTCAACTTTCTTTTACCTTTCAAAGGTATAGCACGGTTATCCTTAATTAAATTTTAAGTGTCATTTAGTACCTTTAAAAAGTTCATTGCTTTAGTCTACAAAATTTGGCGAACTTGGCTCTTAAGGTAGTCAGGGACTTGGTACCAAGTTTAGTTTTAAGCAGAAATTACAGTCCTTTGAACACAGTAAAACCAAATGCACATTTGCAAATACTTCTGAAGAAATACATGGTAGGAAATGCATCAGCATCCTCCTCCTTTCCTTAGCAGTCTGTGTGGCTCTGACGCTAAAGACTAAGTGATCCCCAAACAATTGTATTGTGAAGTATCCGTTGTTTCTTATCTTTTCTCCTCCCCTTGACCAAAGGCTATGCCAACCTTATCAAAATAAGATACAATGTTGAATTAATTAATTACCTGGATGATCTGGCTCTTTCTACATGAACTTCTTAGTCATGTAGCCTCTGTCTTTCCTGGGGGCCCTACACCTGTTGAGTCTTTACAATTCAAAGTATGACAACTAAGATTAAGTTTAAACCCAGGCTAGGAATCTGAAAAGCTCAAAGGATACATGTCTAAGAACTCCTGGGCAGATCTCAGGGAGTGGGCGTGACTGGAGGAGGCAGGGAGCAGAGTGGCCCAGGCCCAGCCGGCCACGGTCACGAACCCTGGCCCTGCTGTGTGATCATGGACAAGTCACTCAACATGCCTAGGCCGCCCATTCTTTTCCCACGTATGACTTGTACTGAGACATCATAAGCACATACCAAGTGCTCAAAGAATGGAAGTAATTCATATGTTTGATTACCAATCTGTGAAAATAGACACAGAATAATAATTCTAGATATAATGCAATTATCACAAAGTATACTACGCACCTACAGGGTTCTACAAATGTTATTTTAGGTTTTATAATAATGAATATATTCTCATTCTTTTCTATGTTTAATATTACAGGCTATTCTAGTCCATATAGCTTTTTTTTTTTAGTGTAGAATTCAACCCTCCTCCCCCTTAAATGACTGCTACCATTAAAACTGAAAAATGTGATACTAGGTTTTGCTAGTCTTGTTAGAATAAATACTCCATAATAGTTGGGTTTCCCCCTGACTGAGCTATGAAATTATAGGGAAATCTACATACAGCAGATAATGTTCATGGAGAATATCAGGAGGCTCTGGATGGATTGTTACGGGTTTCCTCATAGCCCCTCCCCCACATGCATTAATAACTGAGATAATTAATGTCTAATTCCTAGATACAATCACATATGTGCCACTTATTCAAATTTCAGTGGAAGCGTATATAGCTGGATTATTTCCATTTTAAAAGTTCTGTCCACATTTTGAACAGAAACCACAAACTGAGATGTTTACAATCATTTAAAAAAACCCTCCTCTAAGACTCATTTAAAATCATTTTACTATCCTTTTGTTCTGGACAAGTCAGAGACTTAAAAGATAATGAGACATTTTATTTTTTTAATTTTGCATTTCTTGATTCTCTCAAAAGCATGAGAACCAGGGGTTGTTTTGACCTTTATACTCCCATGTCGTGTCCTTACTTTAGGATTAGTCAATTACTGAAATATGAAATCATTGTTCATGCAGGGCAAGGTGTCATATGCATGCTCACTCTGAAAGAATGGCAGAGCTCTGTATGTGTCTATCTGTCTAGAACTTGATAAAAATTCATTTCAAGAGCTACGTATTTTCAAGAGTCTAACATAGGCCTACTTTTGCAAATAGGTTCATTTCTCTTCATCTTTCTTGTGCTTTGAAGCAGTTGTGGTAAAATGTTCTTATATGCATTACCCACATATGGCCAGGTCATGCCTTAGCTCACAAGTTCCATTCTTCTCACCCTGTACATTTTGCAAAACAGTTATCATTTGATGCTAGAAGGCAAAGCAAGGTTTTGGGAACCGAACAATTTCTATCCTCCCCGCCATTTCTCCCCTTCCCAACTCTGATAAAATATCTCCACCTCCTGGCGCCTTTAACCTCAAAATAAACTGACATTCAAAGGATAAGGATTTCAAAAAACAGTTATTGATAAAACTTGCTTATGTGCAAAAAGATAACTGTTCCAGTACTTTGCTTATGGCAGCTATGATAATGAGGTTAGCAATGTTGTAAAGATGAGTTTGAATTAGTAGACCCACTAGGATAGATGATCTATATAGTTGCCTCTTATGTCTAAGGCACCCTTTTGAAGCTCAGACAATCCTTTCCCTTACACTAAAAGCAAATCCTTAGTTACATCAGCCCTATAGTAAGTCAAGGTAAATGTGAGACAATACTATGATATGCTTCAGGTCATTAAATTATGACAAAGAATGCTCTTGTTTCCTCTAGTTATCCCTACATAATTCCCCCCCCTTCACACACACACACACACACACACACACACACACACACACTACAGTTCAGGGAGAGCAATCAGGCGAGCAGCCTGAGCTGAAACCTTTGGAGCAACTCCAAGAAGGTAAGTCTTAACAGAGTAAAAGGCACAGGTGAACATACAACACTTGGCTCATTTAACATGTGAGGTAGTGAATTCAGGTCTATAAAACCTTTCCACAGATTGTAGAAAATGCCCAAATCACCAGGTAATTATGAAAGATAATTCATAATCTTTGGTGTGCAGGAAGAAGGTGGAGCAGCAGACAAGCCCTGGGGGATGGATAGGTAGGTACTGGCAGGTCACAGTGGGAACAGGAAAGATATAATTGTTCAAGGAAATTAGATGGCTTCTAGACAAAGGTCTCTAGAAGACTGTACTACACTCTAGACATTTATCTGCAATAAAATACGAAGTAAAAGTAGCTTACAGTGTAGTTTCCAATGTCACTAAATATCAAGGAGCTTATAGAGTTGCAATCAATCAGAAGTTCTGAGCAAAGAGAGACAAATCCAAGCAGATATTCACCAAAAGGAGGTGTCAAACTAACCACCTTCTGAAAAACTGTTCATTTTTTTAAAGCTAAAAGTGCATCAAAATAGGTGCACCTTTTTTTTTATAGAGACATGCTTTGAAGTCTCTTGACTTAAAGAAAAAGGACATAAATAAGGTGCTACAATACCAGGAGTGTTGCTCATTACACACGCGTGCTACACACGCCGGCCAGTTCCAACAACTGTGCATCAAGGTGGCATGCTACCTGCCCATCCCTCTTCCTGGCCTTAAAATGCAACTGCTCCCGTGGGGGGCCCTGAGAAAAAACGGTCCCCACAGGCTAAGTGCAGAGCACCAATGCCCCGTGCTGGGGAGTCTGCAGCGCCAGTTTTGCAATGACGCCACATGGAGATCAGCGGGGGGGAAAACATAAAAAGAAACAAGGACGAGAAGGCAACAAACAAAAATGTACTCCCCTTTGTAGGGGTCCAAGAGGAAACAACCCCAAATCCCAAACCAAAGATGGTCGATGGTCACTTATCAGGACACACTGGGGACACCTACTCCATACCTGGACTGAAAACAAATTAGAAGTACCTGGGAAATCAACTGGGACACATTTTAATTAAAAAAAAAAAATCTCCCCATCATCAACATCACCACCACCATCATCATCAACCCTAGAAAGAAAAAAAAAAAACAGCACCTGAACTATCAGAAACTGCACTTTAAGACCTGAGGTTTACATAACCTCAAATTACATAATATTCCTGCTGTGCACTCAAAACGCTTCTATAGGTGAAGCGCCGAATCCCCCGGTGTTTTAACATTTTCCAGAGAGAGAGAGAGAGAACTAGAAAACTCTGCTGAATAACTGGTAGGGGAGGGAGAAAATAGAGTGCTGGAAAAGTCATCCTTGACAGGCTGCAAACCCAACCAAATGCTACAGGATAAAGAGGAACTCGGAGCAGGTGACTCCCTTCTGCCCCCATCCCACCGCGCTGGGGCGTCTAAGGCCGAGGCAGAGTGAGCGGGGCGCGGGGCACGGCCGGGCTTACCTGCTCCCCGAAGTCGATGGCTATGTTGGTGATGCCCAGGGGCACCAGGAACCGGATCAGGGGCCAGTAGTGCGTGAGCGCCGGGAATTTCACCATAGTCCCCACCGTGGGCTGACCCCACACACATCTGCCGCCGCGAGGGGACTCTGCAGGAGGCGCGGGGCGAGCGGGCCGAGCGGGCAGGGGCGCGGGCGGACGCAGGCCGGCTCCGGCGGGGCCTCGAGGCAGCGGCGGCGGCGGCGGCGGCGGCGGCGTCCTCTCCGAGCGCGGCGGCTCTAGCAGGAGATCCGCAAGCTCAAGTCCATCCCTGCTGCCCTCCCACACAACAAAGATCTGCCGGGAAAAAAAAGAGGAGGGACGGTGGCGGCGGCGGCGGTGGCGGCAGCAGAAGGTTCTGCTGACAGCGGCTCCATTATAAGCGCTCTGGAGCCCGGAAATAAATAAATAACCGCACGCACGAGGCGCCGCCGCCGCCACCACCGCCGCCACTGCGCGGAGGAAATCGGGGCGGGCGGGGAGGCGCGGACACCGCCGTCGGCAGCCCCAGGGCGGGAGGGCGGTGGGCAGGGGAGGAGGCCGGGTGGGGGGCGGGCGGCTCCCTCCTTCCCTCCGCGGCTGCCTGCGCTCCGCGCGGCCGCCGGGGGCGCTGCGCACTCACAGGCCGCGGGGGCCGCCGCCTCTCGGGCTGCCTGCCAGCGCCGCCGCCTCCGCGGCTCCCTGGGCGCGCGGGGTGGGACTGGTCGCGGTGCCCGGCCGCCCCTGGGACGGTGGCTCGCGGCCCGGGGCCTTAGGGCGTGACGGGGCGAGCTTGAGGGGCGGGGGCCCGGAGCGATCCGGAGGCCCCGAGGGCGGCGGGGCTCTGCAGTCCGGCCCAGAGCTGGGGTCCCCGCGCCGTCCCGGGAGGGGCTGGAGAGTGTGCAAGACTGGCCGAGGGGGCAGGCGACGGGATCGAGGTCCCTTGGAGCGATAGGGGCGCGCTTTGGCCGGGGGTGCAGGGGAGTGGTGGTGTGGAGCGGGCTTGGGCAGGGAAGTGCGGGGAAGGCTGCTCTGGGCGGGGGCTGAGGTCTGATTCGGGCCCACCTGGGCACCGAGGTACCGGGAATAGACGGAGGTGCCGCTTTGGGCTTGCACTAGAGACCGAGGGAAGGTCGCCGCGGGAGGAGCATCTCCAGAGGCGACCGGACCCAAGTCCCGGAGCAAAATGCGCAGTGGGCCGCAGGGACTGGTCCCAGCAGGCTCTCAGACCTGCCTCCAGCACTTTGCTAAGAGTAAGGCGAGATTCTTCTCAAGGCAGCGCTCTTGTAAAAAAGAAACAAACAAACAAAAAACAACAACTCGAAAACTCTGTTTCTTTTAAATAAACAAGGGGAAAGGGGAAAAAGTCTATTATAGTACTGTGGCCCAGTGATTTCAGAGTAAACAAGAGCTGTGCTGAGCAGTTCACCTAAAACTGCATGACAGCAGCGCCAGCATCCATCTCTGCACCCAGTGCACAGTGACCGGCGGGCATAAGGCCCGCGGTGAATGAGAAGTGCCTTGGATAAATGGATAATCTCTGTACTTTCCGCCCAGCTTTTCCTTGGACGAAAAACTGCAAAAAATGGAATCTTTTAAAAGCAGAGGGTGGGGGGAGGGGAAGGGCCTCGTGCAGAGCCGGGCTGCTGTGCAGTTGTCACCAAGGTCCAGAGGGTATAATGCCCTCTTGAAATGGGTAATTTTTGAAGAAGGGGCGGGGCAAAGGATGTAGCCTGTCCTCTTGTTTTGCACTCGCCCACTACAAGCACCTTTCCAAGTTTAATTAGCATAATGGATTTAAGTAATTTATTATTAAAAGTAATAAAGTAATTTTACACCTAGGAATGAGTCTGTTAGCGCACATTTAGCTTTGTAGAGCTGTGTCAGTGGTGAGCTTGAGACCTCAAATGCCTGGTTTCAGATATTTCACAATTATTTGAAAGTATATCACATAGTTTCCATATTTTATGCCGTTTAAGAGACCTTTTTAAATTCCACACAGTGTGCACAAGGCCTTGAGAAATAGGAAACTAATTTATCTCGTGGCCCTGATGTAACCTCAAATTACATCCTTCATAATTAAAATGAAATTTTGGTGATTATTTATTGTGTTAAATGTGTCAAACGATATTATCTGAAAGGCTTCCCAGCAAAACAGGAAGCTCTCATGTGTAGGACTGTCCTCGGTAGCCAATTCCTGAAAGGTGTGTTTGAATATAGTCAAATCTCATTTTAAATATACTAAGAGAACTTGTCATTTAAAAGAATTCTCTGGGAAGGAGTTCTTTTCTAAAGCAAATATCACCTTATGGCTTACCCATTCTGTTAGTCTGGGTTTCTGTGGGCTCAATTTACTTAAAGCCATCGAATTACACTGACCTTTGTCTGGAATGTGGGTTGATGGGCCCTGGATCAATCCTCATCAAGTCCAGTTTGTTTTGCTTGGTCCCTAGACAAGGACAGGACATTGCTGCTGCTGACTGACGCAAACACACACCTGTGATCTTAAGGACGGGTGGTGAGAAAGTTCTAGTAAATCAATGAAAGATCATCATCCTTGTTTGAGTATTCTAAAAATGTATTTTTTTAAATGAGTGATTTAAGAGTGTCACCTTCGATTATGGCAAACAGCCCTTTTTAGATTTGAAAGGCGTTTGAATTTCAATCACACGGCGGCAATGTGAAAGTGGATGAATGAGACATTTAATTATTTTTTTCCTATCAAATAATTAACTCCTGAAATCAGATAACAGATTTCAAAGAGCATTTTTGGCCTCTCTCTTTCTTCCTCTTTATAACTTAATAGTTTTTTGAAAAGATCATGCCAGAATATAAGTGATGATAATGAATAGGAAAATCTATCTTGCCTAGAACCCCAAGAAATGATCCTAAAACCATTTAAATTAGATTCGGAGGGTGTTATCTTTCCAAGGGTATAGCTTTACCTTCAGTTCGCAAAGTCTTTAGGTTAGATTTGATTGCTCTACTCAACAGCATAAGAAAAAAATATGTACATATAAGAAGAAAAGACTGAAAAATATGCTCAATTATTAATAGTGGTTAGATATAGCTGCAGAGTATTATTATTTTCCTTTTATACTTCTCTGTATTTAATTCAATGGACATTTGTAAGTATATAAAACTAAAAGAAGCTTTAAGAATATTTACAAAGCTCCATCAGAAATGCAAATTAGCATTGATTTCAGAGCCCAGAAAAAGTTGCTCTTCCCAAAACAATTTTATAAATGACCAACAATATATTATTATTTTGATGCTTTAAATTATTAATGCTAATTTCTGAAGAAACTAATGCAAAAAAAAAGAGAAACTAAAAGTTACATACATGTCTGATTTACTTTTTCCTTGAATTGATCTTAAGTGAATATGTTGAAATTTTATCCGCTGCAAAGGACAGAATAAAATGGACCACCCACTTCTAGAACTCTGTAACCTCAGGTGCCCAGCTGCAGCAGTGGACATGGTCTGCACGCTTTGTCCACGCAGGAGAGACTGAGTTCATAGAGTCATCTACACTGGCCACACAAAATTATCTTCCACCATATATTTAGTATAACCAACTTATTTAACAGATAGTTTTGATGAAAGATTTAGTCCTGGATATTGGTGTCTAGTATTGACATGAGTAGCAAACCTTCCCAAAATATACATAAATTCAAGACTTATAGTTCTACATCTGGGCCTGGTGCAGTTTTACTATGTGGCTCACTGGGGATGCAGTGAGGGAAGCCTCTGATTCACTAGGCTTCATCAATAAAAGTTTTATTAAAATAATTACCAAATAAAATAGACTATTTCATTGTGTTCGTGTAAATATTGTCCTGTTTGGTGAAGCCATGATTTCTGCCCGGATCTGGGCTTCTGGAGAGCAGAGGTTGTTTCCCTGCCCCAGCTGTTTGCCGTCTGAGTGTCGTTCTGGCCCAATGCCAAGTTACAACTTTCCTGGGCTAATTATCAAGGCCAGTGGTCCGCTCAGCACATCCCAATAGCTGGAGGCAGGAGGTGCGTGGCATGGGTATATGTGAAGAGCAGGGACAATAAAATGACATCAGTCCAATCAACAGAGCATTAAGTACATAAAATAAAGTAGAATCACTCATGTCAACCAAAATGGCTGTCAGTCAGCCATGACATTTTGGTTCAAGTGGGAAACTACTTAAGTCAAAGGAGACATATCTGGTAAGGAGACACACCCAAGATATCTGCACACGTGGTCAGAATAGCAGAGCCTGACCATTCATAGATTGACTCCTGGGCAAATTCTCCACTTGGCACCAGGGTTGTGAGACATTTATCAAAAAAACCCAAAAGAGCTGTCCTGGCTGGTGTGGCTCAGTGGGTTGAGTGCCAGCCTGTGAACCTAAAGGTTGCCGGTTGGATTCCCAGTCAGGGCACATGTAGGCCTGGTCCCCATTTGGGGGTGTGTGAGAAGCAACTGATCAATGTATCTCTCATATATCGATGTTTCTCTCCCTCTTTTTTTTCCTCCCTTCCCTTCTCTCTAAAAATAAATAAATAAAAACAAACAAAAAAAGACCCAGAAGGTGGAGTGCACCACTTTCAAGGTATAACTGAGGCAGGCTCCAGACCACTGCTGAGACAGCCAAGCTCCACACACCAGAGTGCTGCGCCATGCCACACTGGTCTCCCTTGGCATCGGCCACCAGAGGCTCTGCCCTGCTGGATGGAGGACTTTGCCTGCCCTGCTGCTCACCCAGCTCCGGAGATCCTTCTTTGCAAGATGCTGACAACACCCTTGTCCACTGTGCTGTCTGCCAGGCCTGCAGACTGAGAGTCTGGGATTCAGGTTCGTTATCCCCCATTGATTGCTGTCTCCGTGTGTTAATATTTCTCTTGGATTGTTAGAGGGTGGGTAGGATCCCTCGTGTGTGACTCTTGTCTATTCCTTGGTGCCACGCTGCTCAACAGGCAGCTAGCCAAACAGTTGCCCAGCTGACTTATAGGAAAGAATATGTCAGGAACCTATGCTCGTGACAGTGTATTATCCTGAAATTGAACGTTTGCTATAGATAAACTAGAATTAACTAGTTAAATTCTGCAAAGAGTTATGGTCCTCACTTTTAATGACTGCTTTAATAATATACTTATTTTTGCTTGCATAGTATTTTAAAAGTAACACACAGATGCTTTTAAAATGTTGAGTTATAAAAAGAAAGGGGGAAAATCTCTACATGCTGACATGGAGCAATCAGCAGAGTATTTTGGTAATTAAAAAAAGCAAGGTGCCAAACTGTAAAATTGTATGCTAGTTTGGGGGTAAAACAGGAAAGAAATGTGAATATGGTTGTGTATGCAGGTGTGTGTTTGCTTATATTTGTGAAAAGACACACTGGAAGTATAGTCCAGAAATTATTTAAATTCAGTGGGGGAAGAAAGAGAACACAGTGGAATAGAGATAGAAGAACTTCTCTGAATGTACTGTGCTCTTTAATTCTGGCTTTGGAAATGTTCATGTTTTACATGTTGAAAGCATAAAGTTAAATGAAAAGAAAACAGTTATGGACGGCAGACATAAATGTCATGCTTGTCTTTTTTTCTTGTTTATTCCTCTTTTAATCTGGGAAAAGGATTTGAGGCAGCTTCCATCAGAGCACAGGTGTGTGTGTGTGTGTGTGTGTGTGTGTGTGTGTACATATATATATGTCTTAACCACTTTTAAAATTTTGATTTTTTGGTAATTGCTAGAAAATAAAACATTTGCGGAGCCTCTTACCTGGTCAGTTATGCAACCAGACGACGTTGTGTACTGACACTTCTTAACTCACCCCTGCCTGTCAGAAGTGTCCTAAGAACCAAAAGTCTTGGGATGGACCCTGCTCATGCCACTCAAAAACACCACTGCCACCACCACCACCACACCCACCACCCCCTGACTCTCAGAGTTCTGGAAGTAATGCGCTTTTCATAGGTGAGCACTTGATAATTGCTGACTTGTATTTGGCTTCTTATGGTGAAACACAGAACGTAAATGTCTGTGCAATCCATCCTGGCCCTGCCAACCCATGGTGGCAATTCTTAATGAGTCGAATAAAATGGAGGATGTTAGAATTAAAATGTAGCTACTTTTTGTTCCCCTTTTTCCTCTCTTCAACTTCTGCTTTTACTTGTTTTATTTAAATGACCAAAATAACATAAAATGCCTATAATTAAAAATACTCAAAAAGCTTAAATTTTTATTCTTGCTACCTACCCAAGGAATACATCATTTTTATCTTATTTTCATTTATTTTTTGGCCAACTTACTTTTTAAAGCTCTTTTAAAATATCATGTCTTCTTAAATATTTCCTGTGTAACTCCAGCTCACTTTGATAATTTCTTTTCCATGTTATAGGCTGGCAATCAGAATGAGTTCATTAGCCTCTATTTCTAGTGTATGCATGTGATAACTACCACAAAATGTTAAACTTCCTGAGGTTGTGCACATTTTGTGAAATCTATTCCTAAGTATTTCATGGATTTTAATACTATTGTAAGTAACACGTTTTTTAAAATTTTAATTTCCAATTTTTATTGCTACTATATGTAAATATAATTGATTAGTTAATATTTATATCATTTCCCTAATTCTCACTTCCCACTTTTAGAACAATAATAGGCACTCAATAATATGTTTTTGAATTGAATTTTCCATACATTTTTCAACATTTAATATCTAAATTGACAAGTATATTATCCTTTCCGTTATACAGTTAGCACTGACTCTACATCCTTAACATTTTGATAACATGTAGACATTGGATTCCTAGCTTCTCAGACTTTATATCTCAGAGAAGAAATAAACAAAGAGTGGTTCTTTTCATTGTTACTGTATTTAATGGAATATTTTTTTCTTTTCAGTGTTACTCATTAGATTATATTAGGTATTAATTTATCAGGCAAATATGTAGTATATTGTCATCTTCAGGATAATATATAGCTTATCCTTAAATTGCTATATCCCCACCAGAGCATTAAACTTGGAAATGTTCCTGACTTCAAAATGGTATTCTGCTACTTATTACGTGATTTTACTTGTGACTCAATAGATGATTAAGCAAGATGTTAATGAAACCTGTGTCACTTTAATCTCCATATAGATGAGGTAACATTGTTTTAATTCATTCAGCAATCTCTTTTGTGTGCTTATGGTGTGCCAACCATGGTGCAATGTGCTTGGGTATATAGTATGGGATAAAACAAATGTAATCCCACTAAAGTTGGGCTTAAAAAAATGTTCTCTCATTACTCCTACTTAACACCTTACTGGAGGTCCTAGCCAATGCAATCAGGCAAGCAAAAGAAATAAAAAGTATACACCATTGGAAAAAAAATTTGTTATTCACAGATGACAAGATAATTAACATAGAAAATCCCAAAGATTCTATAAGAAAACTATGAACTAATATGTGAGTTTAGCAAGGTCACAGGATAGATGCAAACTCAATATAAAATAATCAATTGTATTTTTATATCCTACAATGAAAAATTGGAAAAAGAAATAAAAAAATACCCATTACTTACAATAGTATTAAAATCCATGAAATACTTAGGAATAGATCTCACAAAATGTGCACAAGCTGGTATGTTGAAAACTACAAATGATAAGAATTTAAAGAAGACCTAAATAAATGGAGATGTGTAATATGTTAATGCATCAGAGACATCACCATTATTAAGATATTAATTCTACCCAAATTGGCCTACAGATTAAAGATAATCTCAATCAAAATCCTTTGAAAAAAGAAGAGGATGGGACTGAGGGTGGCCAAAACGATTTTGAAAAAGAAGACCAAATCTGGAGAAGTCAGGACTTGACCACCACCTGATTCCAAGACTTGGTCACCACAGTGCAGTGCCAGTGAAGTAGACGTGCACATCAACGGAATAGCATGAGGAGTCAGAAACAGACCCTCCCATATATGGCCAGTTGATTTTTCACAAAAATGCCAAGGTAATGAAATGGAGAAAGAATAATATTTTAAACAGATGGTGCTGGGACAATTCGACACCCATATGCAAAATAATAACCCTTGAACCATATTTCATGCCATATATACAAATTAACTAAAAATAGATTATACATTCAATGCAATGACAATACTTCTAGAAAAAAACATAGGAGAAAAGTCTTTGGGACCTTAGATTAGGGAATGATTTCTTGGATATACATCAAAAACACAAACCACACATTTCTCACAACTAATTTATGAGAAGGTATATTAGTTGAATTCCTTTTTGAATATAAGAGACGTCAGCTTAAACTAGCTTAAGTTGAAAAGAGGGATTTATTATGAATATACAGTTATGTCTCACAGAACTCAAGCCAATAGCAGTTTCCCTCAGGAAGGGACTAGAACCAGGGTCTCTCCAGAGGCTAAGAATGCAGGACTGATTCTTCTCAAGAATGAACTTTTTACTATAAAAACTCTCAGTTTTCTTTCTCCTTTGGAACACTCTGGGTATTGTCTAGTTGTGTTTCTAATTTGTAAATCCTAAGGCCCTAGGCCTCCTGATTCATCTAAGCTTGGTTCATAGGTGGCTGGCCTGGTAGGGTTTGAGTCTTTGGACCCACTACCTGTTACCAGGGAACACGAATGCAGAAAAGCACCCATATTAGTTCCCAAGCAGGCCTGCTTGTCTGCACAACTAAAATTTGCGGACATAGAAGTTTTGGTCTCTCTGATTCCAAAACCAGTTCTTCCAGTTTCTTCTCTTATGCTTCTTCTGGCTTGACCACATCTGTGCTGAGTTGAGCTGGACTTGCTGCCAGAGGTGGACTGAGCTAGGGATTGCTTAGGAGGGGAGCCCCACTGGACTGAGGTAGGGCATCCTTGCAGGCAGGCCTGGGATCTGTGGCAGGTCAGGAATTAGGACACGCCAGGGTGTGGTCCCTGTGGCCAAAGTAAAGACTGGACCTTCAGGAGAAGCTGAGTGGCCTGACCTGGGGCGGAGGCAGTGCTGGAGCTGCTCACAGAGAAACTTGTTTTGGTTGGAGGTGAACCTCTAAGTTTGTTTTTTGGTGAACTGCTTTACCCAAGAAATGTTCCAGTCATGTCTTAAAAGGCTTCGCCCCTCCAGAGAGGGTCTGGTTTTCCTGAGTCAGTGATTTTGTCTCCTTCTGTCTAAGAAAGCTGCCAGTTTTTCTCCAAAAGAATGTTTTGCCCTTAGGGTGGATGGGGGCTCAGGTAGCTCTGGACCGAGACCCAGTCCTCTGGGCCTTTGAGTTAGTAATTTTCCAGTTCTCTCCTGGTGCTGGTCCCCAGGTGGTGTTTGACCTGAGCCTGACACTAACTCCAGTAGCTCCAGTCGCCCGGATGTCTGCACAGAACAGGTGTCCATGACAGGCCTTATCTTGGGTTGACTTGGCTGCCTTCCAGGGAAGAGTTGCTGCTTGAGGGAGGCCCCATCCCAGCAGTAAAGAAAAGCATCTTATCCTTGCCCCAGCATTTCCCAAGAACTCTGCTTACTGCTTTTGAGGCATGTTTACCATAGGCACGTGCTCCTCTCTCCCTGACATGTCCATGCAGAACATGTGGCCCAAAGCTCAAAAAATGGGTAGATCAACAACAAATTAAGTCTGAGATAGGTCATTGGATAACAGTTTCCAATGCAAATTAATAATAGTCATTCAAGGTAAAAGTGACTGTGTTTTCTGAACCCCAGATGTTCTTCTTGGCTACTTTGAACTCCAGTGTGGGAGGTGTAGTGTGGAGGTAGAGAAATATTTAAGGCTGGGGTGACAGGCTGGTGGAAGTGTGGGGCTTCCTCTCTGTTCTGGGCCCCAGTGGCTGCTGTCGCAATGGGAAGTGTAGGACACCTGGGAAGATCATGCTGGTCCTGGCTGGATGCAACTCTAGGCACCAAGTGGTCATCGTGAAGAGCATTTGAGGGTGGCACATCAGATCACCCCTGTAGCCATGCTCCCAAAGCTGGAATTGACCATTATCCCTGCAAAGTGACAGCTGCCATGGGCAAGAAGGAAATTGCCAAGAGGACAAAGATCAAGTCTTTTGTGAAAGTTTATAACAACAATCACTTTATGCCCACAGGCACCCTGTAGATATCCCCTTGGACAAATCTGTCATCAACAAAGTTGTCTTCAGAGACCCTGCTCTGAAACACAAGGCCCGATGGGAGGCCTAGGTCAAGTTCAAAGAGAGGTATAAGACCAGCAAGGACAGATGGTTTTTCCAGAAGCTGCAGTTTTAGATCTTTTTTGCTTCAGTCATTAAAAGTCCAAAAAAAAATTAAATTTTGGCTGGAATAGAAAAAGGAAAGAACACATTATTAGAACTGGAAAAAATGTCCAAGGCATTTGCTGGCTATACTAGACAACACTTTAGTCCAGCCATCCTCCCTGTGTGTGTATCTGGCAGAAGCAAACCCTGAGACAACAAAAGAGAGTTAGCCAATGGCATTCCTCTCGCCTCGGAGATCTCCATTTCTTTCTTCTTATGTTCTTAGGTTCCAGTGGGGAGGTTTGGGTGTGCCATGGGCAGTCTAAATGTTGAAAGACCAGGAGGAGAGGCAGGGTATGTAAAGCACCTAGACAAACAATAATTAACAGTAAAAATAACAAGCACAGCAGCAGGTAGCATTTACCAATCACATATCATATGGCCTACTATGCTCAGTGCTTTCATGTGCAGGGTGTCCAACCTGCAGCCCATGGGCTGCATGCGGCCCAGGATGGCTATGAATGCAACCCAACACAAAATTGTAATTTACTTAAAGCCTTTTTTTTTGTTCATCAGTTTTTGTTAGTGTTTGTGTATTTAATGTGTGGCCCAAGACAATTCTACTTGTTCTAGTGTGTCCCAGAGACGCCAAAAGTTTGGACACCCCGATAGTACCACCTCATTCATTCATCCATTCTTCATTCATTCAATTGTTATTAATGTGTCAAGCAGCATTCTAGGTGCCAAGGATACAAGCAATGAAAAACGCAAAGTCCTTGTTCTCATTAAGTTTACATTCTAGTACAGAGACTGACAACAAATACATATATAATGCAAAGTAGACAAGTCCTGAGAAGAAATATAAGTCTGAGCATGGATAAAGGGGAGCAGAGGGTGACCTGGGAAGGTCATTCTGGTGAGTAGGTATCTGCTGTTCAGGCAGAGGGAACAGCAGTGCCTTGAGCTTGGGAAGGCCCTGGCGTGGTGAAAGAGGGAGCAAGAGAAGAGTGTTGGAGGATGAGGTGCACGAGGTGGCTGGGGTCTAAGTGAGAAGGGGAAGCCATTGGAGATCGCTGTGCAGGAATATATCTACACAGGTTTTAAAGGAATTGTTCTAATTGCTTAGTGGAGAAAAAGCTGGGAGGTCAGTTAGGAGGCTACCACATTTGTCCAGGAAGGAGATGACGATGGTTTGAAGGAATGAGCTAAAATTGGAGCAGGCGAGAATAAGTGCATCCTGGAAATACTCTGACTTTATGATGGCAGTATTTGCAGATGGGCTTGGATGAGGCCAAGAGGGAAGGCACATTTGGCCCTGAATGCAAACTCGCAATACCATTTATGGAGACGGGCAATACCAGAGGACGGGAAGCTGATCTGGAGAGGAAAACCAAGAGTTAGGTGTGGACATGCCAACTTTGTAATGCTTATTACACAAATGTCAGGGAAAGAGCTGAAGGATAAATATACCTGGAGCTCAGAAGGGAGCCTGGAGATTAGATTCGAGTAACATCAGCAAAAAGATGCTATGTGAAGCCACAGGCCTGGCTAAAGCTGTCAAGGGAGTGAGAAGATAAGAGATGCAGGACACTTCCATATTTATGGGTAGGAAAGGGACAGATGCTCAGGGAGTTCAAAGAAGTGGGAGGAATCAAGAAAGTCACCAGCTATGTCAAATGCATGAATAAGTTAAGGTAAAGACAGAAGTGGCCACAAGGGTTAGCGATATGTATTTCATTCATCTCAAAACCTTATGTGTACTATCATTATCCACACTTTACAAATGAGGAAGTCAAGACTTAGAGAGGCTTAGTAACTTTTCCGGGGCTCACGGCAGTCAGTGATGGAGCCAGGGGTCCCATCCAGGCTAAGCCCAGGGCCTCACCGCTCCCTGCCTGGGCTACCCTGGAGACACCCATTTCCCTTCCTACTTCCAGCTGTGAGTCCTGGACTTTGTACCTCCTATCCCAGTAAACAGTGACAACACTCCAGGAAAGAAGCCCATTTCAGCTCCATTGGAGGGTGACAGATTATTGGAAAATCTTCGGAGAAAATAATTCAAAATGAAGACAGAGGAAGGATAATATAAAGCATTTAAGAAAACCCTCCTTTACCACTTATCTTTGAGCTCATGATTGCTTTAAAATGTTCTCATTAGCATGGGTGTGTCTGTGTGTGTGAGTGAGAGAATCAAAATAAAAAAATGTTTATACCAAAAATGTACTGGGGGAATTTGCAGGCTTTTCTGAGTTTATAGGCTACACAACAGATTTGCGGGTGAAATGTAAGCTCTCTGTTCTTTTTCTTCCTCTCTTTCATGCTTAATGCACATTAAGGAAAAGCTAATTAGGACACTGTAGGACCAGCGTAAGTAGCCCTCAACCCTAAAGAATGTTATCTATTGACTGCAAAATATTTTGCATAAAAAGGCATTTTCATATTTTTGAAGAAAAAAGTAGTTAATCCATTGTCCTACTTTACACATATTACCGTATTTTTCAGACCATAAGGACACACCTAGGTTTTAGAGAAGGAACATAGGAAAAAAAATTTTGAAGCAAAAAATGTGATAAAATAGTTAATAACATAAATAACATAATATTTCACCAATGTAAATGTAAACAGAACTCAACAGCAGCATTAACAACCATTATTCCTCTCAATTTTTTTTTGGGGGGGGGTGAGTCTTATAGTCCAAAAAATATGGTATTTTCTGCTGACACATTTCTAAAATTAGTACCACTTTAAACATTGATTTTCAAATCTAAGTTCCTCAACCTAGAGTTGAATGGATCTAGAGTAGGTAAGTTTTACAGGTTTTAGGTGCCGTACAGTCTTACTTTCAGTGTGAATTAGCTTCCTAGGCTGCCATAACAGATTACTACACATCGGGTGGCTTAAAACAATAGGAATGTACATTCTCCCAGCTCTGTGGGTCTGAGGTCCAAAATCAAGCTGTGGGCAGAGCTATGCTCCCTCCGAAGTTTCTAGGGGAGGATCCTTCTTTGAGTCTTCCAGTTTCTGATGACCACAGGCATCCCCTGGTTTGTGGCATCAACACTCTGGT